GCCTGCTATGCTCTGCCGACCTTGGGACTTAAAACGGACTTAAGTTAATGGCCTGCCGTGTGGTCTGGTAACATTGAGACTGTGCCTTTTTACTTGTCAACCTTGGGGCTTCTCAGCCTCAGCAGCCAGCAGTTGTCTGAGTGAAGAAACGCCTCTAGCTCCAGTGGGCCGAGAGCAGGAGGCAGAGCTGGACCCCAAGGATGAGGGGCTTTCTCACCTAGCCCCTAGAGCTTGGCACTTCAAACTTGGACTTAAAGCCTCCAAATTGTGAGAGAATAAACTCCTGTTTGTTATGGCCATCTCATTTGTGGTATATTCTTGTCACAGTGGCACTAGGTAACCAGAACATAAAGATAGACTCAGAACAAGGGAACATCATCTCAGTTAAATATTATCAGATACTATAAGGATGATACAGGAGCTATAGTAGCGTAGTGCCTGAGGCACTTGACTGCTAATCAGAAGGCTGGTGGTTCAAACCCACCAGCCACTCCTCAGAAGGAAGATGGGGTAATCTACTTCCGCAGTGATATGGCCTCAGAAACCCAAGGAGGGGTCGCTATGAGTTTGACTCCAAGGCACATAACAACAATAACATAAGGATGATAATGAGAAAAACTTTGGATCAGATGGACAAATACAGCAGACCTGAATGGCTGTTATCTGAATAATCTCACCCTTAGGACTCTTTGCCTTGCTGAAAGACTAATCGTTAATGACCTTGAGACCAGTAATATGATTGGGAGGGGTAAATTAATCTTTCAACTATGAAAGGGCTAATGGCTAGAAGAGCCAGGGGATACAATGCAGTGAATTGCTTGATGTGGCCCTTCTAGCCATTGTCCTTCACTCTGTGATGTTTTGTAAATCCCATTATCCATGCCTATTTGGGGTGGTGTGGTAGTTAAGGTCAGGTATCAACTTGGCTGGGCAGCTGGTAGTAGTCATTCCCTATAATGACTGGCAATCGACTGTGATGGGATTTAGGTTACTGCTGTTGAGGCAACACAGGTGAATGTATCTTGAGTCCTACCTTGCTAGAGGGTATAATTAAAATCACCACCCTTAGCTTCCTTGAGGGTATACCTATGAATCTCCTAGAAAGATTCGCCCTCCTCTTGCTCCAGTTTTGTGTCTTGGCTCATCCTCATTTCACCCCTGGATTTGGGACAGCAGCCGTCATCTGATCTGCGATCGAGGTTCATCAAACCCTGAGAATTGGGAGGATCCTCCAGACCTACTCACGGACCTAGGACTCGCCAGCCTGCCAGCCTCCACCACTATTACGTGAGACGAACCCTTGGGTGTCTGTGAGTTTTGTAAGGCGTTACAGCGAAATACAGAACGCTAAGACTGGGGCAATTACTGGGAGGAGGAGGAGGAGTTAATGTCTGAAATGATGGAGTGGTATGGTAGTTTGGACATTTGGGACATCTTTAACCTCTGCCTCATGGGCACTGGCCTTGTGCTGATCTTTCTGAGAGAAATTGTTCAAGCAAGTTCCCACTGGAAATGCAGGATTTTGGGTGCAAGATTTGGGGAAGCTAGTAGAGAGGGGAAGCTGGTAGGAGTGATTCCACCATTCAGCATTCTGCTGCCTTCTTGTTTTCCCCAGCATAAAGGTCCTCTTGCTTTTGCCAGTCTGTGACCCTGTTTTACCATCTCCAAAAATGAAGCCTCTTGCAGTCCCACAGCAGTGTGTTCTTGGGAAGGGGACCTAACGACTTAACAGCCTCTAAACAGCTTTCATTTAACCCTCCCTTCTGAGCTCTGGTAGCCTAAGGAACTTGACTGCTAACCAGAAGGCTGGAGGTTCAAACCCACCAGCCACTCCTCGGAAGGAAGGTTGGGCAATCTCTTTCTGTAGTGATACCACCTCGGAAACCCAAGGATGGGTCACTGTGAGTCGGGTCCGACTCAACGGCACATAACAACAACAACAACATCTTTTACCCTCCACTGCTACTCTTATTCCCAATTCCAAAGTTATCTGATACTTCCAGTTCATGAGCCTTCCAACTAACAAACTGTCTGCTAGTTTTTCCCACTCTTGGCTTAGGATTCTGAAGTCTCAGGTTTGTTAAATCAGTTACCCTTTATCCATCTACTTCCACAATGTGCTCTCTTGTTATCTCTCCTATTCCCTCATCACTGTGAAATTATCCTTTATTAATATTTGATATTATT